TGTAAGAACAGGGTCGGAATAAAGTAAAAATGGAGATCTAAGTATAAAAGTTGAAAAAGCTCGTAAAATAAATCAGTTGTCCACGAATGTCGATTTTTTGTAGATTCTTTGCTGTCGATACTAAGTACTTTTGGAATCACTATATCCTAAAAAGTATCGATTATAGAGGGTGTCCCAGAATTCAACGTCAAGCCGAAATGCGGAGACAGTCTTATATAAAAGAAGTATAAATAGATTGCAAAATCAGCGACTTTGCCTCAATTAACTCAATTTTAATTATTTTCCCACTCCATAGAGGTCGCCACCAACTGTAGCACGAAAATCTACTCTTAGGTTCAATTTTTAGAAAAAATTTAAATAAATATATAATATAGAAAAGATAAACCTGATTAAATTGAATAAATGAAATGAAAACAAAATATACGTGTTTAAAATATATTTTTAAACTAAATCACAAATATATAAAAAAAAAATTAAACTTTTAAAGTACGTATATTATAATAAGAAACTGTGAATTTCGGTACAGTAGACCCTCTGTTGAGTGCGCAAAATACTAAAACAGGGTAGGACACTTATTCTCAGTGTTTTCCCTTCATGTATTATACAGAGTGTCCCAGAACTCAACGTCAATCCGAAACGCGGTGATAGTAACTAGCATTTGCATAAATCGTGTTATTCTTAGGTTTTTATTTTTTACTCGAATTATTTTGTTATAAAACTATAAAACATTTTGACATTTTACAATCCTGATTGAATGTGCGATCTTTTGATAGAACTTGGCAACATGTTTTAGAACATTTTTTTTTAAAAGGAGAGCCTTCCAAAATCGATGAGTTTTGTAAATTTTAAATTTGTAGTTTAACAAAAAGTCTTCATTCTAGAAAACTTGAAATAACTGTCATTATTTCTGACTGTGGACCCAGAAATGTTATTTACAATTACGGTTCTTAATTTTAAATGAACAAAATTAATAAAAAATTACGACAATAACCAAAAAATTGTCACAGTTTAACAAAAGCTCTGGGAAGTACTTAAAAGCTCCTAATTTTCAAACTACATGAGAATAAGTTTTTTTCAATTTTTTTTTTCATGATAGTTGCCATAAATACTGTTATCCCGTTTGGGCTTGACGTTGAGTTCTGGGACACCCTGTATACCAATTATTTCACATATATAATAGTCAGCTGTCAGAAATACATAGTTTACAGTTAAAAATTTTCGACGTTGAGTTCTGGGACACCCTGCATACCAATTATTTTACATACATTAAGTTTCTGCCAGAAATCAACAGTTTCACACTAAACTGTTCACAGTTAAAAATTTTCGACGTTGAGTTCTGGTACACCCTGTATACCAATTATTTTATATACATTAATGTTCTACCAGAAATCAATAGTTTGACTGTTTACACTTAAGAATTTTTGACGTTGAGTTCTGGGACATCCTGTATATCAGTTAGTTTATAAACATTATTTTTTTACCAGAAATCAATAGCTTCACACTAAACTGTTTATAGTCAAAAATTTTCGACGTTGAGTTCTGGGACACACTGTATACCAATTATTTTATATAAATAAATTTTCTACCAGAAATCAATAGTTTCACACTAAACTGTTTACAGTTACAAATTTCCCGAATTACCCTAAAAAAATAAATTTTTATACGCATCTGTAATATTTTAAAGAAATATTTTAATTCTCATTAATTTTCTAAATACGGCCCTGTACTATTTAACATAAGCTTATCTAACATTTGTCCAATAACTAAAGTTAATGCCTTTTTCATTACGCACTATTTAACTACATCGACTTGGAAAGTTTTCCTTATGCTGTGACAAGTTTAATGGACACCCATAATACTGATAATGCAAAAACCACAAAAATTAATTTAAATATTCTAAAAGAACAATTTTAACTTTCTTTTGCAATTGCTGAATTGGGAAGCAGACTTAGGGTAATGGCTAAGGTCGTGAGCTAGCAAATCTCAAATTTAGCCAGCTTGATATCAAGCAGTATGATATGAGAAATACGTAGGCTAATGACTGAGGACTTAGACTAGCGAATCCCAACTTTGTTCAGCTTGATATCAAGCAGTATGTTATGAGAAATACTTAGGACGTAGGCTGACTAATCCTACCTTTGGCGAGCTAGATATCAAGCAGTATGATATGAGATTTTCACTTGACGCTATAGATACTAAATATATCTTCAAGTGAAAATAAATGGCATTTTGTGGATATTGATGCATATCTATCTATTATAATCTATGGGTAAAAATGAGAGTGGTAAATAGCTGGAGTTGGCTTGGCGAAAAATATCTAGGTTCGAAAATATTCACCAGAAACAGTTTTTAGAAGACGTGGTGTTATGTAAAAAAAATTTACACAAATAACCTCCTGAATTGGAGTTGCGTTCACTAATATCGTCCAACTGTTTGTAGAGATTTTAAGAATCATCTAAGTAGATCTAGACGTTTTGCCAAAATCTGGTTAATTTAAATGTACTCAAATCCAGTTTTCAAACGCGAATAAACCTGTTTCAAGAGCAATTTTTATTTTTGGGAATCCATACTTCAGTTGACCTATTTTAAAATCAATTTTTACTTTTGGTCTTACAAGCGTGGGGATTTTTTTGACCATGATAAAAAATACTCATATTTCAATAACAACAAAATTATTACCTACTTTAACACCAACTTGAGATTAAATTTATAAATATCCAAATTTTTACCATCATCATCAATTCGCGTTGATAATTTTCATTACAAATTATATCCAGAAGTTCTACCTCGTCTTTGCCCAAACATATCATTAAATCTTCTTCGAATTGGACGCATGTTTTACATGCAATAAATTATTATAAATAAATAAAAATATAAAAAATTCGTGTCCAAAAATTGAGACGAATTCCATTTTTGGTGAAGACGGAGGCGACGAATTTTCTTGCACTTTATGAATATTTATGCGAGATAAAGGAGAAGTCATTGAAGCAAAATCTGAGGATCGTAGAAAGTCTAAATAAGCTTGAAGAATAAATTTATTTATTTCTTTAGACAATATTGTTTCTATACAATCACTTCATCATCATATTATTAATTTCCCACAACTTATTCATTTCTCGATTATGAATAATTTTATTAACGAGGCGCCATTTATCACAAAGTTGCCCAACGACTTGGTTTTAAGAAAAAAAATGCTAAACCTTTCTTGGCGTGAAATGAAGGAGAGATCGCGTATTTAATTTAATCACATTTAATGAGAGAGGCGATAAATCATACGAGCGATTGTTGTTAAGTGTTGCCCGATGTTGGCACCTATTAATTTGCACCTTGATGATAATGGACATAGGGAAAAGTTACACCATAGTACAAATCTTGATTTAATGAAAAATGTCTGAATCAGAAAAATATTTTACCTGTTCCTTGAAAATAAAAATAAATTACACATTTGTGCCGATTACTGAATGTAAGTTTATTGATCAGAAATTATTTCTATATTATTCGTAGTTTCTATAAATCTTTGAAGTTATTAAAATGAAAAATATTTTTAGGCAAGACAGATATTACAGTTATTTAAAAAATGAGATTATATCGCCAGCGCAAAAGTGAAAAAAATACAAGCAATCAATGAATGTATGTTAATTTTAATTACATGAAGTTCTTCAAACACAATTATTACATGATGAATGAAGTTGCGAAAACAATATTTGTTTAGGCGTGTGAACAAATATTATAAAATTTATCAATCAGCAATTATTTCATTTGTCTTATGAAGGTTCATTTCTGAATGCTAATTACAATGACAAACCGATCATGTCATATTTGAAGTATGACTTTAATTACATCATTGTTTTTAAATATTATTCATATTTTTAAGACTGTTATAAATATATAATTTATGATTTATCATTATATAAATGTCCTTTTACCATTATATAAATGGCACTCCTTTTTTCAATTTGAATTTTTGATGATTTTGAGTTTTTTTCAATGTTTTGAAAATTTTTTAAGATTTCGGAATTCTTTCCAATTTTTGGAAAAATCGATTTTATTTAATTTTTGAAAATTTGGAAATTTTCGAAAATACTAGAATTTTTTGAAAATTTCGAAAAACAAAACAAGAACAGGATTCTCAAAAAGATTCTTTCAAAAATTTTGTCGATTCTTTTAAAACGCATAAAAATTACCTAAAAATCGATTTCTTTAAATTTTTAAGAAATTAGAAATTTTTGAAAATATTCGATTTTTTTTAAAGAAATTCGAAATATTCTATAATTTTTGTAAGAATCTATTAATTTTTGAATTTTGACATTTTTTATAATTCACCAAAATTTTGATGTTTTTTGAAAGTTATGAAAAATTTCGAAAATTTGAGTTTTTTTTCGATTTCTTTTAAATATGGAAATTTTCTGTAAAGCACTTTTTGCACACCGTCCATACAAGCAAAGGTTTTTTGAATTATTCTAATCGGATGATCCGTTCTCTCAAAAACTGCATGACCATTTTTACACCCTTTGCGCTCCATACCTCCAAAACCGTTAGACCTACCGTTTGCAAAAACGCTTTGTGATCGAGTACGAACCAAATTGTTTTTCAATCATACAAATCGGTTATTCCATACTGTCGAAACCCATTTGCTTGAACTATATAAATGAACTTCAAAAATAAAAATCTTGGTACAGAATCCCAAAAAATTGACACAAAATCATTAAAATCTCTACAAAATAACTGATAGTTTGATGTGCATATGTCTAATGAACATTTTTGAAATTATCGACAAAAAATTGTATCCGCACGCACACACACACACTTACATCTATTTTTTTATGGTACGCCAAAATGTTCAGAAACCTTTGAAACGTAAAAATATATAAAAAAAAAATTCTATTTTTTATTAATAATAATAAAAATCATACACAACTAACAAAGTTGGATCATGATCACTAAATCCAATTTACCATTTATTGAAAACCACAAAAACTACATTTTTATAAAAAAAAATTTTATTTATCTTCTTCCTCTGGCTCTTGCCAAACGATTCGATTTTCGTAAAACTCGATAACCATACGTGGGTAAATCTTATTGACATCTTTGGCAGGCACCAGATCTGCATCTATGGAATTTGCCCATTTTATCAGAAATTTCAATTCGCCATGGGAATTTGTAATTCCTAGGATTTTCTCGGGTTGAAGACCTCTGGCTAATCCTACTGGCCCTTCGGGGTAATCCACACTGGGGAAAAGGATTGAGGAAATTTAGGATAAGGTAATGGACAAAATGTACTGTCAGTAGGTAAAATTTTAACTAATTAAAATTTAGTTAATTTTTATACGAATGTGCGAGTAAAGAAGGTTTACAGGCACTATCATTTTACTCTCTTATCTTTTATGGACATTATCTAATATCGTCTGTCAACATTATAGATTATTAAATCTAAACAACTTCGCGCGAGCTAATTTTCTGGTTGTTTATATTTGTGTATTTCTTATTAGTGCAGTAAACGGAGAAGAAAAAAGAGTATAACCTCTGAAATTTTTTACTGTGCTCCGAATCGAATGAAATTTTGGAATTAGGTTCATCTTACCCTCAAGTTCAAAAGTGAAAACAATTCGGGTTGCGCCATAACATGACACCCCTTCTCAATTGTGTAATCACATTTTTTCAAAATAACGATAGAAGAACTGAACGGAAATCGATAGAAGAACTAATTATCAGAAAAAATGGTGGCTCTTTTATAGTTTTTAAAAAAACTAATACTTTTCAAGTTACTGGCCACTAAAGATTCATATATTTTTTGCGTTTTTCTTCGTTTTTTTGCAAATATCTCCTAAAATATGCATTTTAACGAAAATCATGTAATGAACTGAGAATAATGTCAATAAAAATCTTAATAAATCGGTATTACATAAAGTGTTCTAGGAAAAATATTAAGCAAGATTTGAAAGAGCAAAGTCGGTTTTAATTTCGAGGTTTTATATTTTATGCATTTCGGTGAAATTGGGTTTTATGGTGCTCAACATGAGCTTTAAAATGAGTGCTGTTACAAGTTTTTTGCGTGTAAAATGAGTGAGCTATCATGCAAATAAGAAGCATATACGATGTTTTTTTTCTAAATCATCACTATAAAACCCAATTTCACCGAAATGCATAAAATGTAAAACCTCGAAATAAAAAACGACTTTGCTCTTTCAAATCTTGCTTAATATTTTCCCTAGAACACTTTATGTAATGCTTTATGTTACATAAGGCATATATATTTAAACAAAATTTATACTTATTAAAATATCTATAAAATATCTGAAAATTTGATGTGCATATGCTAATGATCACTTTTGTCCGTCAAATATTGCTTTTTCAAATTCTTTTATTGAAACCGCTAAACCTGCCTCCCACAAATTTAAGCACTTATTTATTCCGTCAATATATGTAAATTTTTTTGAATGATATTGAACGTTTCTTTTCTCAAAAACTGAATTATAATTTTTGGCATTTTGGCCCGTATCTTCAAAACAGTTGGACCTGCCTTGGCCAATAACTAATCAGCACGTCTCCTTATCAATAGGAATTGAATCATTTAAACCGGTTGATCCGTGTTCTCGAAATCGACTTGAATAATTAATAAAATATTAGATTTGTATTGATGGGAGCACAGGCAGTTTCAAAAAATGGTAATTGAGTTTCGATATTTCTTCTCTGAAACAGCTACGCAGCTTGATTGCTTTGCAAAAAGTTCATAATTTTCAAAAAATTTCAAAATACGAAAAATGTGATTTAAAAGTCATTTTTTTCATTTTTTAAAAAATTTCAAAGCTGTTTATAAAATGTAATTTTCAGTACGTGAAGTTTCAGTAATTTGTCTTAAGGCACGCAATGCCATGCGTCACTAGTCTACAAGTTCGTCATTTTAAGAGGGCTCGAGAACTGAAGAACATATTTTTCTTAAACTTTCAGCTTGTTTACGGATCTTTATATTAGCCAAATTGCCAAATTTGATAACTTATTATCCAATTTGATCATTTACGTTTGGAGAGGGAGGCAAGGCAAAATAATAAACTTTAATAATCGGTTATTTCAACCTAAATTTTGCATTGCAATCGAATTATGTTTTGTTAATTATATTTCTTGAAATTAAAGTTGAAAAAAAGTTAATTATATTGTATAGAATTTTTTTCTCACTATTCAAATTATGCCGCCCCAAAAATTGCCGCCCTGGGGCAGTAGCCCCGTTTGCCCCTACTGTAAATCCAGCACTGGGTAAGATGAACCTAATTCCAAAATTTCATTCAATTTGGAGCACAGTAAAAAAATTCAGAGGTTATACCCTTTTTTCCTCTCCGTTTACTGAACTAAATGTAATAACCTAAGAACTAACCTAAAAAATATGTTCACCTGTCATTTACGTCTTCACTACTAGTTGATACATCCAATTGCTCCTCATAATCCTGAATCAATTGTTCATTATAAATCAAGGATCTCGTCAACCAGCAAGTTGTACCATCTTTCCATTCCACCAAAAATTCACCATCATCAAATTCGTGATTTCTCTTATCCAAAATCCTTAAAGGAACATTTTCGCAAACAGATTTATCAACAGAGGATTTCTTGGATTTTAGGATATTTGGTGGATTCATTGTATTTCTGGGAGAACTTCTACGATTTGTGCTCATTTCGGTACAAAATTTTTCGGCACGAATATATTTTGTTCAGATGTTTATTTATTTTTTGACGTTTGCTCTAATGTGTGTGAAGTTGGCCGCGGTACTTTGTTTGACAAAATTATTTAAATATCTTTGTGATTTTAGATTATTTTAGTAAACTAGTTCGTATTGGTATTTTGCCTTGAGGCAAGTTACATGAACTTTCCGATTTGTGTAATAATCGACTCAATTCATGATAGATAAATTAATTCATGAGTAGTTAAAAGTATTCGAAGTGAATTTATTACACATTATTGAAAATCGAACACGTCAAGTCGGTCGGAGTATTTTTTAAAAGCAAATTTTCACAAATCAATAATTTTTATAATTGAGCCAGTTTTTTAGGCTGAGGACTTTAATTGTTCAGTATGTTTGTTAAGACCAAGTACTCTATCGTTATACAAAGTAAATCATTTAATTTTAATTTTAACAAATGTCAAAAGAACTACTCATTTTCTCAAACTTGAATAAATTTTTAAAATTAAACTACTTGTCGTAAGGCCGTAATATTTCAGTAAGTTCTATATACCATGATATATATCGCCAAAAAAAGTTCCATACAAATCGGCTTCAATTTTTTTTCAACAGTCAATTACAAGAAAACGGCTCGGTAGATTTTCACCTAAAACTAATCAGTATATCTTTGGAACAATTATTGATTTTTTAAAATCGATTCGGTAGTATGAGCTTAAATGTGGACGAAAAGTTTATCACTTTTTTCTAAATTACAAAAAAAACGGCTCGGCCGATCGTCGCACAAAACTGAGAAACGAGATACATCAAATGGTTTTTAAATTTCTGAAATCGGTTCAGGCGTTTTTGAGCAAACGTCGATGAAAGTTCTAATTTTGACAAATGCCAAAAAGACTATACTAATTTTTGCAAACTTTGATGAATTTTTAAAACTAAACGAGTTGTCGTAAGGCCTTAATATTTTAGCATGATCTAGAAGACTATGGTATCTACCGTCAAAAAAATAATAATAAAAATCGACGAAAAAAAATTTTTTTAACACCTTATGACAAGAAAACGGCCCGGCCGATCTCTACCAAAAACTAATCAGGTAGTTTCCCAACCAATATCTTTCGAACGATTTTTGAATTTTCAAAATCGATTCAAAATTGCGAGCTAAAACGTGGACGAATTTTTTTTCACTTTTCTGCTATTTACGAAGAAACGGCTTGGCCAGTCGTCGCACAAAACCGACAAACAATAGTCCTCATCGAGATACATCGAATGGCTTTTAAATTTTTGAAATCGGTCCAGCCGTTTTTGAGAAAACGGCGATTTACGGCAAAAAATCTGTTCACATACACACACACACACGCACACACACACACACATACTTTTTCTAAAAGTTGATCTCATTCGATTCAGGCTTGAAACGTCGAGAAAACATAAAATTATCGAATCGGATTTTTTTATGAAAACATAAACTTCTCCTTCGGGAAGTTAATAAAACATAAATAAATTTAAGTAAATCTATAATAATAAATCTTACTATTTTGAATATTTCACCCCAAAATTATTTGTCCATTTACTATTCATTCGATAAATTACATAGTCTTTTCGACTATATAAAATATCGATATGATTTTTCGCCTCGATGAGTCCGGCGGACGGAACATCGATAATTTATTAACGGGAAAAGGGATAGATACATCACTTTTTTAGATGAAACCGGGATAAATAGTAATAGTAATAGAAATAGAATGTAATAATATATTTGAATAAAATTTCTACTTTACAAAATTATACGATAAGTAATAACAATGGTAACTAACTAGTTCTCTCTTCACCACAATATTTTCCACGATATTTTACTTTTTTTTAAAAAAAAAATTAGTAGTAATTCAAAAAAAAAAAATGCTTCTGATTTGAGCGTTTTGGGCGCTCTCGTTGCAAAAAAAGCTTTTTAAAAAATCTACAATAAAAGTTACAATCTCTATAAAAAAGACATCTACTATAGATGTGACCCCCAGAATTTTTTTTTACAAAAGATTGAGAAATTTTTGGTAAGGGTTATTATCAAGGGTACTCTTGCAGAAAATTAGTTTTTAAGGGTGCTCTTTAAATAATAAAATTTTATACTATTATGAGCCTTACAGAGCTTTGCAAAATTTGCTTCTATAATGAGCTTTTTTTCAATTTTTTATTTAAAACTACAATCTTTCTGGTTAATTATTAAAGTTTTATTCAAATGGCTGACAAAGATGATTATTGAAAACAAACTTAAATTTTAAGTCTTTTTTCTTACGGAGGAGGAAAATTAAGAAATGATTCCTATTACTATTTCTATTCCTATTACTATTTCCCCCGATCTCCTCTAAACGCATATTCTGTCTGGTTTTATAATTAAAATACACATAAACTTAGTATTCGATGATGATTTTCGTGTTTTAAACAGCAGGGCACACGAATTTATGATGTGCCATTCGATAAATTTTCAATAAAACATTCATTAGAATTAAAATATCATTGAAGAAAAATATACATTAAACTTAAATAAAAATTGTTCCGAACTTTTTGGAATGCATCAGAGAGCAAAGGTTTTTTTTAACTTTTTCTTATTGTAATAATCTCATTCTTATTTAGAAATTAAAAGTAATTATAATATTTTTGATGGTAATATTTTTATAAAATTATTTTTGGAAATAAATAGAAATAATTAGAGATTTGACTTAAAAACTTTGGCTTAAGAACAACAATTGTTCTGAAATTTTAAATTTTCTTCATTCTAAATCTATAAATTTTCTTTTAAACTTCCACTATCTGCTAGACTTTTGCAATTTAGTCTTCTCCAATTCAATTCCAATTTATTCACTAAAATCAATTTATTCTTCACACAAAAAATAAATAGATTCGTCCTTAATGATGACTTATCAAATCTAATTTGATATATTTCCAATATAAAAAGATTTATTTAAATTTTGAAAATTCTCTTTAATTTCTGAAGATACAAACTAATATTGTTCGAATTTCTTGCTTCATTTCTACTCTTTATTACAAATAAATAGATTTATCGACTTTTAGAATTTTCTGCCCTTAATTTTGATTAGATAAATGAATGATTTAATTTTGAAACTTTCTTGCTTGATTTTTTTCTTTGGAAATTTTCTTCTTTCTTTTAAATTTAAGGCATTGCTCGACTTTAGAACTTCTTGCCCTCAATTTTATTCAACTCCTTTGAAATTAAATAAATTTCTTCGACTTTTGGAACCTTCTTCCTTCTCTTTTTATCATTTTTATGAATCTCAGTACAAGTTCACAATTAGAGCATATTTTTTCTCAACAAGTGGCTCCTTGATTTTATCACTTTTATCACCACTGTTCAATGAATCCGAGTTAATAATTCACTAAAAACAATGATAGTAATGCGGTTACATTAATTCCAAAGCTCAATACGGCTCGATGGAATTTAACTAGTCCCACATTTTTTTGTTCGCGAATCAAATGAATTTACTATTATGAGGAATTTCCGATTTTGTTAAATAATTTGAACGATTTTCATTGTTTAATTAAAACCAATGGCAAAAAGGGATATCTATATATATATATATATATATATATATATATATATATATATATATTCATATATTTCATCGGTTACATCTGCCGAGTCATTATCTCATACCACCTATAGTACGGTTTCAAAAAAATACATATAGATTTTTCTTTTTCTTTTTTTTGTTGAAATTAAAATAAAGCACAAGCGGTTAAAGGAATACGAAAACAAAATTAAAAATAAACCAGACAGAAAAAAAAGTCGGTGGAATTCTTCTTCTAAACGGTCTTTCACGAACCGAGGAGGAAAAAAAGAACAAATCTCAGGACGTGATCTCGATGGACAGGTGTTAACTGAAGAGTGGTCAAAGGAGTTGAGATTGAAACTTTATATTTATAAGATTATTAGATGACCCTACAGACGTTGTCCTGTACAATATTCTATACTAATATTTACCGTTCAGTCAAAAATAATAATTATTAACTTCCCGTAGGGCAAGTTATAGTAATCGCAAAAAAATCAAAAATAAAAATTTTTATATATCTTTACGTTTTAGAGGTTTCTGAACATTTTGGCATACCTTAGAAAAAATGGATGTATGTGTGTGTGTGTGTGTGTGTGTGTGTGTATGTATGTATGTATGTATGTCCGTGTGTGCATGTATGTGCGGATACAAATTTTCGTCGACGATTTCGGGAACACGGATCAACCGATTTGAATAATAATCAAAAAACATTTGATTCGTATTGATAAGGAGACGTGCTGATTAGTTTTTGGCGAAGGCAGGTCTAGCCGTTCCGAAGATACGGGGCAAAAAGTGCCGAAAACGGTAACTCAGTTTTTAAGAGAACGGAGCGTCCGATTTGAATAATTCAAAAAACATTTCACTTGTATTGACAAGATGAAGAATCGATAAAAGTTTTATGAAGGTAGGTCTAGCGGTTTCGGAGATATGGAGGAAAAAGTAAAAAAAATGAGCCATTTGGCGGTCAAAAATGATCATTAGACAAATGCACATCAAATTATCAGATATTTTATAGAGATTTTAACAATAAGTATAAATTTTATTAATATTCCTATGGGTTCCGTACCAATGCTTATGCGTTAGACAGCGACGCGGCGCTTACGCGCTTTATATTTTGTCCCTATGCAGTTAAAGCAGTACGATTGCTTTGAAAAAAAAGTTCAGATCTCCCACAATATGTCAAAATAAAGAAAAAAAAATTTTTGTTTTCAAAAAAAAAATTTTTCAAAAAAAAAGTAATTTTTTGTCCAATTTATAGTTTCTCAAAAATCTTATTTTTTCAAAGTAATTTTTTTTCAAATATGTTAATCGTTTTTAAAAAAATTATAATTTTTGGTACGGGAAGTTCCAGCAATTTGCCTTAAGGCACGATGCCTTAATTGCCTTAAGACAGAATTCCACTTACAGCTAGTTGTTTTTCGAATTACTATTTACACCAAT